CAACGGCAACAGCCAGAGCATTTCATTTATATTGTTTGATATAAAAGTCTTTTGATTGATTTCCCTCGCTTATCTGCTTTGTAAAGCGATTTCCATGAATACAGCCGCTTCACACATAGACAAAGAAATGTCTATAGACATACATAGCTTTAGGTAACTGGAGAAGAGTCTAAGGTCAGCCGGGTTATACATAGGAGGGCGCTGGAGGGCTGATGGCTGACTAAAAACCATTTTATCTTACCAATTTGCATGACTCGTTGCTCGCGTGGTTTGAAATACGAAAATCGATGCGAAGGCCTTTAAAGAGTTGCTCCTATTACAGGCCGAGATTCAATAAGTGAACGGTTCTTGGAACCTGATGAGTCAGGCGTGGGCGGAGTCGTTCTAGATCCGGTGCTAATGAAGCAATTGAATGAAAGCCAAAGAAAATGCTAAATGCATAACTGCTTGAAAAATGAGATTTGTCATACGATGATTTAGGCAGCTTTTGTTTTCGTTTACGAACGCTATAAAAACGGTTCTTATTCAAATATCGTTACCAAACAAGTCACGCTATTCCCCCATTTCGCAAAACGCAAACAATGTCCATCGTTTCAAATCACACATTCTACCTTAATCATTGGGAACACACCTACGGGGTTGGGGTCTAAACCTTATCTGCAGACATTATACAATACACATCGACGACAACTGATATCTTCACCCGGTTGTTGTGTTCTGTTGCTTGTGTTTGCTTTTTCAGCCATGAGCCGCGCAAGTTTTTGAGCTGCCAAGACCAACAAATGCGATAACTATAAGACGGGTGGAAGCAGAGGAGGAAGGCTAAAAGTAAACAAACTTAAGGAATTGGTAAAAGTTCGCGGCAATACGCCACAACAAATTTTGCGATGAATTCTTTTTTAATCAAACATTTAAAACTTTTTAATAAGTGCAAAACTCCAAATAAAATAAAATAGCAAACACAAACATAAACTGTGGCCTGCCAGCGTTCTTAAGTGCTCCAGGTCGGTACACCATTCCACCGCTTCAACTTTCGCTTTCAGGTGACTGGGGTCTGAAAAACTTAGCTACACTGTCACCATTTTGGGAATAAATAACTACATTTAATTTGAAAACAAAAATAATTGTAATTAATGGTTTTTCTTTATCGATGACTAATTTTCTTTTTATTTAAATAATTGGAAAAATCTTTAAAGCTTAAACCTTTTTTGCTAGAATGAAACAAATATTCCTTATTTTATATAATTTTTCCTCCGTGCATGGGTCTCAGAAAAACTTATTTCGCAATACACTATTTTGTATTATTTTACGGCTAAACGAAAAACCGAAATTTAAGAAGGGGTTTACGGGTTTGTTTTGCCAAACGAACCAAGATAAAAACAATGGCTGAAAACAACCGTTGAAATATTAATGGTCAGCGTGAACTTCAGCTTGAATTGCCATTGGGGTGATGGGTGGTAAGTGGGTGGAAAACGAAAATTGCGTGCTGAGCCAAATGTGCAGCTGTCAACTGCAGAAACTGTAGTGAACAGACCGCAAGGCACAACATGCATTGGGAAAAGCAGTGGAAAACGAAAAACTTAGCTGACAAGAGTTTTATAGTGGCTGGTTTTTCCGACTAACAGATGAAACATTTTCCTTTTCAGACGCCGACAACTTTGACTTTCCTGCGGTGTGAATAAACCTTGGTTAACAAAAGCCAAGACAACGCAGAAATGTTGCAATAGTTCAAGTTTTTCATGTCGTTTCATATTTTCCCCCAACTTCCCGACCCCCACCTCAAAAACAACAACAAAGTAAGAGGCTGCCTTTGTGTAAAAGTGTGTGCTAAAGGTGAAGTATGTGTGCGTGTGCTTACCTGTTCATTGTGCGGGGATCGTATTTAAAATTGCAGCAAAAACCACTTTAATGAAAACGTCGACTGTGAAAAACAACACAACAAGTAAGACAACAACAAAGATCAGTCGGCTTGCAAAAAGCTTTTTAAATTTGCAGGGTCTTATGGCAGTGTGCGTGCGAGCGAGAGAGGAGGTTACACAGAAATAAAATCAGCTCAAATCAGAATATTAAAATTTGGCAACTAATTTTGGTTTCTTCAAGTAAATTCTACATTCGTTGTTGAGCTTGGTACCGAAAGTCTTAGTGTGCTCTTTAAGGTTGTATATTGTATATTAAGCTCAACAAATACATTCGTAACTATAACCTTTATATTTAAAATGGACACTTTTCACATTTAAAATTGAATTAAGGGTTCATAAGGCAAGTAAAATAAGCAAATCAATACTATTTATCTTTCTGTGTACATAATTATGTTGCAGCAAAGGGGGCTCAAGGAGAAGAAGAAGACGCATCAACAGGGAGACAGTTTGATAGACACGTGAGTAAATTGCTCTCCCATTCTCCGTCCCGCTTTGACACAAAAGCAAAAGTTCACTTTCGCTGCCCCTCTCTTTCTTTCCCTTTAGCAATTGTTGTCGAGGCTCCCACCAAGTTGGACATGCAATCCAATTACCGTTAGAGACCAACTGTCTCCCAGCAAATTGCAGTTTTTACAGCACGTAATATTTAATTAACATTGCAAAAAAACATACAAATTTCTCTTTGCCCCGAGACAATTTACTGGTTTTAAAATACTATTTTGGGTTTTACGTTTCACATTTCTTTTTTAAACGAAAGCGACGCCTTTTAGTTTTTTGACACTTCTTAAGCAGCACACGCACACACTCTCCTTTTGGCCCTCTCAGTTTTTTGGCTCTCTCTTCTGCGCACAGGTAACACGGTCTCTCTCTCTCGCACACTCACACAGAGCCACCGCAAACAGGTAGCAGCGTATACGTACACTTACACACACGCAGGCGCAACAAGCGAAGCAGAAACAAAATGCATAGAGACGCGTTTTTTCATTTGCACAATTTTCACAAATTCGCCAGTAATCCGGTGATCTTATTCAGCACTTTCAAAGAAAAATAGATATTCACTCGATGTGGATTATGGGACTATTCACCAATTGGAGCGCTTTTCAAAATAGTAACGATCAAAAGCGGATTTCTTATTCGCGACGCCGACGCGTTGTGCGCTCTCCACTCAAAAGACGATCGTTGAATGAGAAAATGGAAGTTTGTTGGATGGTTGTTGCGCCTGCTATCGTTATTGTCTGCCGGCGTCGCGGTCGCGGTCTCGGTCGCCGTCGACGTCGGCGTTGGCGTAGACCGTTAATGGTCAGTTAATCGCAGTGATGCCAAAAAAAAGACCAAAAATCTAGCTATCTGTTCATATTTGGTTATTTTTTTGATTTCTTTGTTATGTCATCTATAAGACAAATCTTTGTCGTAGCATATATCTAAAAATCATATATTTATTTTTTAAAAGCAGTAAAGTTTGTTTCCAAATTTTAACAAAAATAACGACTAAAATATATAGTCGGTCAAAATCATACATCATGAGATTCTACTCTACCAATTTTATCGAAACCATTTTTAATCAACCTATCCATTCATTTTTCAATATAAAATATCTAGAATTCTCGGGAACAAAGCTGAACGTGCAGCTCTGAAAATTCCTCACTCTCTGCGACGTTGCAACTTGGAGCTCCTCTGCTGGTGGCAGTGACAAAGCGAGATAGTGAGTGGGAGAGAAAAGATCAATTACTCAGCAAGTCTATTTTTTGCTATCGCGCAAAAGCCTTATCCGTTCTCTCGGAGGCTGGGAGAGGAAGCTCGGCCTTATTAATATCTCAAGCGATTTTTTAGAGAAGTCTATATAATTACACAGAAACAAAAACCATCAGCTTTGCCTTGAATTGATCAATTTAGAAAATAATGAATTTCAGTATTAAGTTTTAGCCAAATCCAAAAATTAAGTGCTTAGTACGCTTTTACTAAATTAATTGATATTCATATACACCAAAGATGTGGAACAGTTTTAGTATTTGTTTTCCAAATGTAATATTAATCTCCATAGTTCACTGATTTGCCCTAATCGTGGGCTGGTTCCGGTTTTTCTTTTTTCCTTATGCTCCGATAGGCTTTGAAATGCACTTCCAGGAAAAGTTTGATCATAAAATTTGTCAAAAGGAAACCGCTTAAGTATTTTCAACAACTTTTGGTTTTACTCTAGTAACTATTTCAACCGATTGAACTCCTAAGCACTGAGTAAAAAGTTTTCACCTTTAGCTTGTTGAGTATTTTAAGGCCTTAAAAAGTTTGTTTACTTCGGCGGCCTTGCTAAATATTTCCATTTTAACAAGAGCTTGTGTAGATTCTCTAGTTGGTTGCATTAAATTGATTTTCTGATTTATACGCCGCTCTCTGATTTCCGATCCCTTAGACTTTGAGCTTTTAGCACTTGGGCCAAGTGGCAATCGATTTAATACAGCGCCTGCCCGGCTTTTCATCCGGAAAACTGAAGTGCGCATTTGAATTTCAATCAGCCGACTGCAGCGAAATAAACAAGCCACCGATGACTAGAACGATGAGCTCTTTCCGCCCACTTCATCTTCCTTCTGGCCAATATGTTAACTTCCCAACCCAATAGTGATGGTACAAGAAATTTAAATTAATATTTTGTATTAATATATTAATATATATAAGTCGTTAGTAAATACCAAATCTTTTCTTCTAACTTTGACAGTTAATTAGATAAGTGGAGAAGAAGAAGCTCTACCACCAGACAACGTTTGTATATTGTGTCCTGTTCTAATCTGCATTTACTGATATAATCTGCATCATTATTGAAACATCTTTTTAGTTATCAGCCACATTTGAAAAGTGTTCTTTCAACTCTTAATGCATTCTAATGCTCATTAAATGTATTTAAATGGTAGGGGTAAAAAACAATAAGAAGTGTCATTACTAGTGGTATCAGTGGAACATTGTATAATAAATTGGATGAATAGGAAAGGGAGAAACAAAGATATTTCCCAGAACAATCCGTAGATATGGCACGCACCGCCTGGCAAAAAAGAGAAATTGTGGATTCCCCATCCGATTTTCCGCACTCACCGTTTATGATTCTGGTCAGCTTGGAGCGGCGTGTGGAAGACGGGCTGAGCATGCTTTCGCGCCGGCTGCTGCCGGCACTACTGCCTCCATTGCCACCGGTGCCCGGTCCACTTCCACTCGCTGATCCGGATCCGGCTGCCGAGTCACTGTAATTGACATTCAGCTGGGCCTGTACCTGCGACCCAAAGGAGCTGGACGTGGAGGTGGAGTACAGGCTGCTGGCCGAGGGACGTTTACTGAACGGTGAGGGGGCTCCTCCAACGCATCCGTAGGAGGCTCCTGGCGCTGTGACGGCCAGCGAGGGGCGTGGCGAATCGCTAAACACAATCTCGGCAAAGGAGTCGATGCTGGCCGAGCGCTGAAGAGCACTGCTGTCCTTGCGCCTGCAAAAAGGGAGGACATAAACCAAAGTCATGAAACACGATGAGCATCTCGATGGGTTCTGGTGGGGATTCCTTTGGAGGAGACGTCCAGGGGATCTCGTAACAAGTGCAAACTTACAGACTATCGTAATTACTTCACGCTGTCTGACATTTTAATGAGCTGCCCGCAGACCGTTAAGTGCCGCTGCGGTCACTGGCCGGCCTAGTTGCCATAATGTTACTGTTTTTTATGGCCACGCCAAGAGGAGAAAGCCGCTCGCCGGGGCAGCGGCACAAGTGTCGCCACTGCTGTGCAGTTACACTGAGAGTAAGTATTTGAATTTTCAGTAAATCAATACAACAAAAGTCGCCTCGAAAAGGTAGGCAACCTCCATCAACAGTTTTCAATGCTGAATTTATAATATGGCTCATATACCTTCATTTAGTATTATTATAATTAACAAATGAATAGCAACAACTAAAAAACACTTTCAAGTTGTAAATTATGTGTCTAGAAAATTAAAATTTTTGTTTTTAATTTTAAATAAGTATTTTAAAAACTGCCAAAAAAACGATTAGAGTGAATAGTCAACGCTTTAAATGAGTTTTAGGCTTGTGTTATAATCTTATGTAATAAAGATCTAAATGTACATAATTTCTAATTTCCCATTTTAATGTAATACACTTTATTGTTTTTTAAAAAAACCAAAAGTTCATATATTTAATATATATATATATTTTTCTGTCTTTAGGCAAGAGGTTCGGATTACATTTTACAAAAGTAATTTTTTTTGTAAGTTTAAGATACTGAATTTGGTTTTTGACTTGTTTTAATCATATTTTTTTAATATGTAGTAAAGTTTTGTGCAAGTGCAGCTACAGCAGCGGACAGCTGGCGCTAATGTGTTGCTGTGGGTTATGCTGACAAAGTTGACGCATGTATAAAGCTGGCCGAGCGTATTTCTTCATTCAAGTCAAACACTTTTCTGCGCTTTTTCCGCACTTTTCTTTGCGTTGCGTTAGGCTGGCACGCTTTTGCCCATGACTGGCCAAGTTTATGGCCAGCAAATCGAGGTGAGTGATGTTGCTGATGGGTCAAAGTAACTGCAATTTACGGTCGACTTGGCGGCCTAGTAGATTAATTTGCCATCCGCTTGGGGATCGGACATGGGCTGACAGTTCATGATTTGACTTCACAGTGAAATTTAGTTGCGAACTTTGTTTGTCTTTTGCTGCACCATATTTTGCTGTGTTTACTCCGCCCTGTATTAATTTGCAGGCTGCACACAAATTGTGTTGCCCCTGTTGGCGCACTTTTGCTCATTTGCATAATCAAAGACAAGTTTGAAAACTCGACCACATTAAGCACGCACCAACCTTGAGCCAACTTTCTCTATGCCAGCGACCGACAACCAATTTGTCCTCTAATGAAAGCTCATATATTAATGCGACTTTTGGAAGTGTGTCTGTACAACATGTCGTATGCGCAACATTTTCAATTAAAACCGCAAAAGCTGTCGGAGCAATCTCAACGCCTTCCTAAACTCAATTTGAAAGTTGGTTAGGGGATGTTGGAGACCAAGTAATTCCTCCTTGTACACTCGCTAACACTGTTAATACGAAACCATAATACATCCTGTGTCGCTCTTGCCGATCTCCGTCTTTTACATGGCCCCTTCCCATGAGACAATTAAGTGAGTTTGCAATTAAACACATTCATAATTTGCCAACAGCTAAATACGCTTAATCAACGCAAATTCAATCAAATTACTACGCTTTTAAGCAACAAACGAAGTGTTTCTCCAACCCCAAGTGCGAAACCCTTTGCCCATCAAGCAGCCTTTCCCCCTCGCACACTGCGTGAAATATGAAGGAATTCTTTTAAAAATGAATTAAGAATTTAAGCGACAGCTTGATTTTTCCAAAATAATTTATATGGAAATATTAAAGATTAAGTGTAAAATCGCTTTATGTTTTTTTTTATAAAATTATGATAATAATATATAATTTAAATTTTCATTGGAAAAAAAGTATATAAATAATTAAAACTATGTCTTTTAAAATAATGGAACTTGTGACACAGATATTTTTCTGTGTGTACAAACTGTGCTGCGAAAACTTGTACTCGTCATCGTCGTTGATGGCTGATGGTAGGGGTTGAGTGGGGTATGATTGGGGATCGGCTTTTGTTAGTGGGGTGGAAAGAAGTATAAGAAGCCCCCAAGCCACAGACACATTTCATGGCAGGCGACAGGCGGCAATGTAGACCCTAGTTAGCTCTACTTGACTTGCTGCTGTGGCGTGTTGCCCTTGCCAGTTGTCAACCTCATCGTAGGCAAAATGCGATGCAGATGAGAAATGACAGGCGACCATATGCCCATATGGCCCGTGTTGTCGGTTCTGTGCGCCTAACCACCATAAGATTGCAGCGTGTTCGCCAACAAACCTCAAAGTGTAGCTCTGGATGAGCTGGCAGCAGTCGGCTTCTAGGAGCTGTCGATAGTAATGATTGTTATTAACTTATGCATATATTCCGGTGCCAAACACTTTAACCCACTGGTGGCAATAAGTCAAGAGCTGTGCCAAACGAACTTGCCCTGTGTTTTTCTTTCCCTGGTATGCCATACCGAGAAATCAACAAGACTGCCAAGCATTTTGACTTGACAAAGTTGCATATATTTTCCAGGCTAACAAAACGACCTGAACGATTGGATACAAAGAACACTCAGAGAAAAGAGTTATTTATAAAACATTATCTTATCTTATCGTATTATCGGCATTTTAAAATAAGAGATCGAAATTTTGTTTTGTTTATATTACCAATGAACTCTTTTAGCTATTAAATAAATATCAAATATGCCAGAGTTATGCAAGCATTTTTATATGACAAAACTTCAAATAAATTGGTTCAAAAAAGCTTGCTATAAATTTTTAAAATGATTTAAACTACGATTTTTACTACTAACAAAATGCATTATAATTTGACTTTAAAATAATTTGAGATATGCTAGAGTTATGCGAGCATTTTAATATGAATTTAATAAATTGTATGACATATAACTTTGTAATTATTTCTCTAATATCCGTTTATCTATTATATATATCTATGTCTTTCCAAGCCTGGTTTGTCTGTCGTTTGGGCTCCTTATTTACACTTATCACACAACCTCCGCCATCAGAGGTTATTTCCAGGCAATGTGTTAAGAACAGGTGACACATTTAAGCACAGAATTCTGGCCTTAAATGTTTCGTACGTCGTTCGGAAGACGTGTCGTGAAATTATGTAGAAATTTTCGGCATCTCTCTGGAAAACCCCTTTAAGCTTTCAAGGTGACTTCATGGGGGCGGGAGAGAACTGTCAACCTAGTGTGGGAAGTGCTCCTAATAAGAGCTGGCTGGCTGGCAGTTGATTCAAATGTGGCTTGGCAGCCTCGAAACAATTGACTGGGACATGGCTTAGTGTGGCCTGCACAGTAATTGGATGTGAGTAAAAACTGCATTTGGGATATGTAAGTTAGTTAACTCTGGATCGATATCCTTTGCGCCTGTGTGTGTTTTGCCCTGGTCAAATGAGGCGCACTTTTGGCCAAACGACAGCTGACCAACTTTAACCAGTCGACCATTACAAGGCCACATCTGCCAAATTGTTGTCTGTTGTCTGTCGCTCATCATCAGAGCGGGTTTTCCACTCGCATTTTGCGACCTTTTATGCGGTTCGCACACACGCACTTCCCCCGCTCAAACGACACAAAATGAAACTGAAAATAAATCAGGAACGGAATGGCGGCCGTGGCACATAAATTGATGTTGACATCAGCAAGTCGGCGACTTTGGCTTTTAGCACAACTTTTTTTTGTTACTTTTTTTTTGTTTATTTCACGAAGCCGGCTGCAATTTATAAAAATTTACACTACATAACATGCCGCCGCCTACGCAACCCAGCTAATGAGTTTTGTCATTGTATTTGTTTTCGTATCTGTGTGTGTGTGTGTGTGGGCGGCTTCTTGGTGTGCACGGCGCACATGACGTATGCGCAATTTCAGTTATGGTTCGTTTACTCGAACTTCCAGTGGCATCTTGTTGTCCCAGCTAGTTTAGTGGCTCTTTCTGCCACAGGAGCAGCGGCGACAAGACGCACAAAACTTTATCCACAACACCAGACTGGCAGAGCGGTGGCAGGACACGATTTTATTGGCTCCGCTTCGCGTCCTTTCCATCTTTTTGTACCTCGTGCTCGTAGTTTGCAGGGGCATGCCAGAATTCATGTATTTTCTGATTGTGTTAAGCAGAGGGGATATAGCCGTGATATAGGCTATATCTCTTGATCTATTAGACAGTACATCTCATTAGACATTATAAAAAGCTGTACAGAAATCTGTGTGAAAAGATGAAAGCTATTTGTTGTATGCATTAATTAGTTGTTCAACACAATTCAGAGAACAAATCCATGTAAAGCTTTTTTATAAATCCATTTCGATTAGCGAAAAAGCCTTTTTTGCGTATGACAACATTGCGCTTTACAATTTTGTGAAATTATTTCAGCCTGAGATTGATTATTGATTCAATTTATTTAACTTGTCAACAGTGTAAAAAATAATGCAATATACTTTTTAAACTGTAAGCAGTAAGTTTTAAAACATATTCCTGTTTTTATTACCTATGCAGTTTCATAGCCTCATAGCCTATGCAGTTTCTTTACCCCTTGTTTAAATACGTCCTTAAAATCATCAACAAATTATGATAGAAACAAAAATGTAAGGTCTTTTTTTTGTTGTAAATTTCAATTCCACATTGATGTTTCGCTAAAACAGTGACCCAAAATGAAATATTGTTACAAAAACTTGCGTTTTCGTAGAGCAGATATCCCTTAGTCGACAACCTTCATTCCTCTTCACTTTCTTAAAATGCTGAAGGTTTGTGGGGTCCTCCTCCATCTTTGTCTTTGGCTGTTGGCTCATGAATAATGCATTCACAATTAAGCCAGTGAGGACTGAAAAAACCCCAACTAAGACCCTAACTGGGGAGTTTTTTGGCCCACTCCTCCGCTCCAAACCCAACTCACTCCAACTTGGCTGAGCTTTGCAGTTATTATTATGCGGATTGCTGGCTTCTACAGTTGCCATTTACGTTGTTTTACTTGCTTACCAGCTCGTTGGCTCTAAATTTAGCAACGTAATGCAATACAAACAGAACAACAACGATGGCCATAACCCGTCCCAAAAGCGGACTTCTTTTGTTTCAGTTTTTCGGTTTTTGCATTTTAAAATATCAAAGTTTAAGCACATAAAACAGTGCCATGGGTAGTGACGTTGTTGCGCCAAGTACACGGCATAGTATAGTAGATTGCATTCAGTAACTAGTGTCCTGCTGTCAGACAGAGAAGACGAGACGAGAGCATTGCAATCAGTGTTCGGGGGGAGGTCCTTTTGTACCTCCTGCGGCTTGTTTGCCAAAATAATTTTACACTCTTGACCATGGTCAACGGCAAGTGGTCCATTCTAAAGTGAAGTGAAGGGTAGTGAGAAGGAGAGTTCAAGGCATAGTCTTTCCGCTCGTAAATTGCTTAATCCCGTCGGGGACATGTGAATTGGCCAGACCGGGCTTGGCCCGTAAACATGCCCGTCCCCTTAAAGTCGATAAATGCGTTTGCATAATTTATAAGCACTAGTTTGATTCAGCCACAAATCCGTTGAAATGTGCATGTGCATTTGAAATTACCCCGAGAGCTAAAATTAGGAAAACTGATTTAACATGCATCCCTTCTCAAATATTCAAAAATCAGAAATTAAACCACAATTAAATGAAGGGTATTACACTTGTTTTACTCATTTTTCGTGGTTAATGCAGAGAAGCCTAAATTTTTTGCAATTAAAGGATGTCAATTACTGTAACTGTTATCAACTTTTATTATTATTAACTGTTATTATTTTTATTATTATTGTTTGTATGTAATTAAAGTTTTTTAAGCTTCGAACACAAATAAAAGAGTACCATTTCGCATAGCTAAATTTCATCAGCCTGACACATGAAATAATAGGAGGCGTAGTGTGTATAAATGCTCATTTTGCCGTCGGCCATAAAAACGTATCGATAATTTTTATCACAGTGAGGAACAGGTTGTCACGATCTCCATTTTAAAAATTGTGCTGGCTTGCCAGAAGCCATTGAAACGAAAGTGTCCAAATTGCCGCGATTGTTGATGCCCAGCCAGTAGGGATCGTTCTTATACTTTCCGCTGATGGCATCAAACACTTCTTGGTTTTGAAAGGAGGCAAGATGACCACCCATCTCACGACAAGTGCTAGCCCAATTTTTCTCCTCCTTCACGATCTGAAAGAACCTGGAACCAAACCTCTCGAAATAAGGTGGTATGGTTTTTGTCCAAATCACTTCTTTCTCTGGCAATACAGTCCCAATGTACTGATTGCAGTTGTTTTTCCATCTCTGTTTGCTGAGTGTCTATTTTTTCGATCCTTGTCTGTGATTCGCTTAGTATTTTGTCCAACCTGTCTTGCGTTTTGTTTATCTTGGCATGCTATAGCTGAACAAACTTGGCCTGGGGCTCAATCTTTGAAAGCAACATGTTAAGGCAGTAGGCTTCGCATTGATTTCTGGGGTCTTTTAAAAGGCACATGGATGCCGTGTTTTCCTGCGATTTTATCGCTACACTCAGAGTCCATTACAAAAATGCGTATAAAATATATTTTTCTATATTTATATTTTTGAACCAAATACACTTTGTGGCTTAGATAATCACTAAAGTGGCCTGCTGGGATTATTAATTAATTGGCTTGCCAAGGCTTCGCTAATGGTCTTGCCTTTGGAACGGCAAGGACCTTTAAGTCCACCTAATACCACCTGCAATCCAGCCAGCTGCGGTTTGATTTGTGCAACTTATCGTGTAAAGCGAGTGACGTTAATTAAGCCAGCATCGTGGCGATTGGAGGGCTGCAAGGGTGGAGATGCCACGGGCGTGTTAATCTTGGGGTTGCATGTGTCTCCATTAGATTGCCGTGAACCGTAACGAATGAAGACAAATGCGGCACTCCAGCGCAGACCAAGCTGCTGCCCTGTCACCAAGCCGTCCATCCATCCATCCATCCATCCATCCGTCCACCAGTCTGACCCACCTTATATGGCCGACCATTAGGTGGCGGACCAAGAGACCCAAAGACACCCGACCGAGATCAGCTTTCCAGCTCGAGGGCGTAAATAATATTAGCTAATTGCAATGGCTCTCCACCAGACAAGTCAAGGTGAAAGTTGACAGGGAACAGGACACGGGACACGGGACAGACAGCGAGTGCAGGGAATGTTGTAAATTACGTATACGCACCTCTCCCACGACAGACGACGTGGCGCCTCCTCGCCGAGACCCAATCCCAGGCCACGTCCCAGACTCTGGACCGCATTGTCACCCGACGGCGGTGGCTGCAAATTGGACCTGCTTGCCAGGGCGCTTGATTGATTCAGCAATTTGGCCAGCCGTGTGAGGGTCGTGCTCGATCCAGAGCCGGACCCGGATCCCGAGCTGGCTGTCTCCGCCAGGGGCATCTCGTGCAGGGTGTGCTCCCGGGACATCGGCGTTGAGACCCCCGAGGAGGCTGAGGCCCGCTTTCGGGCCGCCAGTCGATAGGCTCGCGCTGCTACCACATGCGGGGCTGGAATTCTGCAACAGAGACGGTTAAGTTTTAGTAATACAATTTAAGGATGTCAACCCGTTATTTAATAAAACACTTACAAAGAAACTACATCTTAAAAATAAATACATTTTTCACATTCATGTAAAATTGCAAAGATATAAATAAAAGTACAATCATAAGTGTCACTGACTGACATGCTGCCCTATTTAAAAATCACTCTCTAAGAAACTACATTGTGAAAATTAAAAAAAAAATGGATTTAAGTAAAATAATTAAGATAAGTTCTACCACAATTTTTTAATTTAATTATTCATTTTCAAGCAATCATTATGACTGTTGTGACAGTTTCACAAATGAAAAGTTTTTCATTGTCTCTATTAAGAATCTGTCTAGGTGGGACCAATATTAAATTTAGTAATTGCAACTTTAACTTTGCATGGTAACATTTAAGTTAATGCACATATAATAATTTTTAACCAATTTTATTATATACTTTTTTTGACCAAGTTTTAATCTTGATTTTTTGTTATCCTTCTATCTACTAAAATGATTAGGGCGATTTCACTTTCAAAATATCTTAGCTAAGGATTCAGGATTGTGCGGTTTACCCACCTGAGCAGCAGCGATCCGTCCGCGTGGCACTCGAAATCATCGGAGACGTGGAACAGAGAGGCATCCCCCAGGTGCTGCAGATGTTGCAGGTGAGCATGTTGCTGCTGCTGCTGATGCAATTGCTGCTGGTGGTGATGGTGGTGGTGGTGCGAATTCTGATGCTGATGGGGCGTACTGCCCGAGGACTTTCGCCGGTAGACCAAATTGCTATCGTCTTTGGGCAAATTCAATGATTTCACCAACAGCGTATTGTTGTTGTTGGTCAAATGGGAGTTGTTGTTGTTGATGTTGCTGCTGCTGGCGGGATTGTTGTTGCTGGTGCTGCTATTGCTGTTGCTGTTGCTGGTACGTGTGAGGAGCGACCAACGATGACCGCTGGCGCTGCCACTGCGGCTTTTGCTGCCCAGCAAACGCTCGTCTGTGTGGGCGAATGCAATGGAAAATCGGTTAATTCGTAGGGTAAATATTTTTGTTGATTTTGCAAGTATATATACATGGCTGTGTGTGTGGATTAAGTGCACTTTCATAATATTAATCATAACTTGTACTGAGAACCTGTCATTTTTATTGTTTCCTAACACTCTTAAGGGAAATTGCAGAATATATTTATTATAGACCTGGTGTTAAAGCTGACAAACATGACTTTAAAATCAGCTTTTAGCTTAGGCAGAATTATACCTTTATGCTTTTGTTGGTTGTAATTGACCTGATTTCAATTTCAATTCAATTTCTGTTTCCTACCCAAATACTACCTCAATTAAATTGTTTAACGCTTAATGCACATGCACAGTGAAAAACAAAAGATTATTTGCAATTTTAAGGTTTTGTAATTGAAAAAGAAAATAATTAATTATATTTAATATATTTTCAAAAGTCAATATACAACATATGAAACATAATCAATTTTTAGAGCAAATTAATTGCAGTTAGAGCAACAAAACAGTTTGAAATTAAATCCAAACGTATGCGAAATTTTGAATTTCAAAGTTATCATTTAAACAAACTTTTTTTTAATCAGCTTGCAGCACAAAAAAAACGAAGTGTATTTCGAAAGAATTTAAATTTGCTTTTTGCATGCAATTACTACAAAAGCTTTATCGCAGTCATTATTTATGCAACATTAACCGAAATGAGATTTTTGAGTAATTACAGTCTTTATAAAATAATTGTCCAACAGGATTTTTCATTATAATTAACCGCTTTTCCAATGCAGTTGTATGTTACGCACCCAATTGAAATGTTTGCTTATCCGTGTGCAGCGAGACGACCGGAAGTCCTGGCACAATAATGGCGGGCAGTGTGCGCGAGCGTAACAATGGGGGCGGCAGCTTGCGGCTGCCCGGTCGCGATTGTGACCCTGAGCCACCGCCTGCACCACCCACGCCACCTCCAGCCGCACCACCCGCTGCGGCGGCTGCATTCTGCTGAGCTCTGAAATGAATCGAAACGAAACGAAAGGAATCGAGTGAATGGATGAGTTAAGGGTGCGGAAGAGCGAAAGAAAGCGACAATAATAAGTTAATGCTATTATTTATTGAGTGTGACGAGTCGGCAGGAGTGTCAGCCAGCAAATGCAATTATTTTCCGTCCTCATTTCCCAGCTACGTGCCATTTCCGTTTCATTTGCATGTACTACCCACTTGCATCCATGGCTCTCTCGGGCATATTCCTTTGCACATTGAGCCAAAGGAATGGCAATTTGGCAAAAATCCCATTTTCTTTTATGGCATCGGTAACGTTTCTTCAGCTTTTTAAGAACGCCTTTAATATATTTTAACCCCTTAAGACGACTTTTTACATATTATTTAAGACTCTGACTTTCATAATCCAGCATTAGATCTCACTTTTAAACGAAAAATGTATTTCAAAGATGATAAGTTTATGAAACTAGGTTAGAAAAATATTTGTAGCTAGTTCTTTTTACACTTAAATACATTTTACATTTAAATAATAGCAGTACTATGCTTTAAAACTGCCTTTTACAGTTAACGATAGTCCAGTTTCTGGTAAATGTCACAATTTCTCGATATTTGATGAAAACACAGTCCCTTGGCCAAGCAAATGACAAGAATTTAATTTGCTTATTACTTCCACCAACTGTGCGGTGAAAGAGTGTTTTTGTCAGCTGTCGCTTTGCGCATTTTTTAGCGCTCGCATGCGAATTTTATTTGATTGTTGTGTGGAAATTACTTTCATCATCCCACAGGACCTGAAAAACCATCCTTTCATCCGCTGCCTACGACAGCTGCCAACTTCCCGGCCCCTTTCTGATTTTTCCATGGAATCCTAGCTATTTCTGAAGCCAGCTTGATATGTGATTGAATTCCTGGCACTCGAATTCGAATCCCAACTTGACGCCTACACCAGATGTGTCTGTCCTGGTCCTCCGGTGGCAATTGTCAAGCTGATGGAACAGTTCCACAACCCATTTTAACCGACCCATACAGCACTTGAACTGCACGCATATCGCTATATACATATATGCATTTGATAAAAGACGAAAGATGACTTCGGTAAGCTGAAGTTTATATACCCTAACAGGTATAATACAAATGTATAAGTTACACTAGTCTTCCGCTAGTTCCTTTGTATAAAACTGTAAAATATTGTATTAAATTTTAATAGTCCAATTGTACTACATACTTATGGTAAAGAAAATACAAACAGCTTTAACGATTATTTTTCATTGAAACGGACAAAAGAGCTTGGCAATATTGACTAGTTCAATGTTCATAATAAAAAATGTATGCCCTCTGCAAGGGTATAGAAATACAAGCGCAGTATGCTAAAAAAAATTAAAAAACTTTTTATTTGATTTATTTCTGACTTTGACATTTTGCCTAGTCGCTCGAATATCTGCCCGAGTTCTAACAAGTTCCCTGCAATATTGATGGTGATAGCAGGCGGGTCTGCCAAATGAACAGAAATCAGCAAAGTTTTTCCCACCCAGAGGCATTTACAAGATCCCAGCTAGGGACAACACATTCAATCGCTTCTCCATGGCAAAAAGCTGCACCCGCACTTAGTTCCTCTCTATCATAGAGGTAAAGTGCAGTAAAGTTGTAGAAAAAAGCAAAAGAAACATGTAAGCAATCTATCTGCGTCCTTGCAACCAAAGAAGACAACTTGAGAAAACATGCGAAACAGTTAAAGCGGCCAAAAGAGCCAGCACACACACAACACAATGTCCACACATAACATAAATAAATGGAAAATTACATAATGCCTTAGCGAAATAACTTAAAGTTTTTAAGGGCCCTTTTGTTTTTACGGCACACAGAGAAAAATATGTTTTAAAAAACACTTAAAAATTTACATTTTAAATATATCAAAAAGATAAACTAAAAAAGGTTAACCTTTAAGTAATTATACTATATTGACCTAAATTGAAATGTTTTGTTATGCCAAAATATTCATAAAATTAATTAAATTCAGCAAATCATAATTTTTAAACATAATAACGATTTAAGAACTGACAAATTTTAAAATGATAGATTTTAACTTATTTGTTTTGAAATATTTTTGTCTTGCAATAAATTTCAATTAAATAAAATAATAAATAGCCCAACTAAATGTATATCAATTTCGATTCTTGTCAATGTTTTTTTATAAAATGCTTATGTGGTTGAATTGATATTTTATGCATATTTCTAGCAGGTGTATCTCCACCAACTGTAATGCAAGCTAACTTTTCTAAAATGTTGTGCCAGAGAGGATAACTTAAGTTTTCGTAAAGCAAACAAATGCCTAATTTGTGAAAATATTTTCGCTGTGCAGTTGAGAGGTTTGAGGTTTGCCGGCGGGCGCTTTCCAGATTGTCGAGCACAAAGGGGCACTTATTCGAGGATAATGCCGCAGCACCCACTGAAGGCAAGCTGTTACAGGTCGCAGCAGGAGTGCTAAATCGCAACAAAGGGCGAGGGGTTGCGGGGCACAGCCCACTGGCATAACTCAAAGCGGATCTACATAATTGACGTGAAATACTCGTAACCGTAAATCGTACATTACCCCAAACACGAGAGGGGAAAGTGCAGGGCAGGAGTGAAAAAAGGTTAACATGCTGCCGGAATTGCTGGGAGAAGTGTTTTAAGATGGGGCCTGCATAAAAGTTAACACCCTGATAATGGAGCCATGCGTTTCAGAGAAAGAGAGAAAGTGGTTATTAAATGAGCCAACAGCCGTCAGGATGTGGATTTCAAAGGGATATGAAATATTGCATTTCTGGGAAGGATTGACAATGGACACCTTGTGATTCAATTACTCTTCGAGGATTATCTCCATTGCCATTGGCATACTGCAATTAAAGCTTTCTGTTGGCACTTCGGACGAAAACTAATGAAGTTCTCTGGGGGCGTATTAGCATCAGCTCCGACATCATTCCTGTCGCATTTTGGGCGGCATTTGTGTGTAAAAAGGCCAACTGAGCCGTAAGGCTTTGCCAAATTACGCATTCGCAGTGTGCGCGACCTGTAATCCAGCATGTGATTGTGTTTGTGTTTGTGTTGTGTCGGGGGGTCGTGTAATTGCATTTGCTGCTGTGTTTACATGTGCGTGCATAATTAGAGTGAATGTTGTTCGTGTGATCAACTCATCGGAAGTCGGACCCTTTTTAAGCTCAACGGACACTTTGCCACGCCCCATTTAAATGGGTTAAGTGAGGCTGCCGCCAGGTTTCATGAACTTTAGGATGAACGAGTGAACTTTAAGCGAACCTACTTGAAGGTATTCGTTCCTGAAAAACGGGTTGCTTGTGCCTAATTGAGTTTGCCACTTGGCATTTCTTGGCAGTCCTTGCTCCTTAAGCAAATGTTGAGCATGCGAATGGCAGGACATAAAAAGCATTTTCATTAAGACGCAATGCAGCTTGGTAAAAAAATTTCGAAAATTCCTCTTTCTCTGGAGCACACCCCGTCAAATGCAATAAAGTGCGTTGGAGAGAACAGGCAAAATGGCGGATAAACATAGCTGCGAGTTTCTAACGAGCTGCGTTTGCAGCAAACAAGTTTTCGCAACAGAACGTGCAGGGGGGGTTGAGGTTGAAACCCACTCATCTTAACCTTTCCACTCCCAAACACACTTTCCACTTTCCTTTCCACTCACACACTGCATCCGGCGCTACAAATGCGTTGCCAAGAACTCAATTGAACTTGGCTTAAATGCCCCTGAATTGCAAGCACCTAAAAGCTGTTTTTCATTCATTTCCGTAGTGAATTTGGGGAACTAACAAAAGTGCTCATACTTCAAGTTGAAGAGACTTTTACTAAACCTAAAATTAGATCACATATTTATACAAACTTAAACGATAGAGAAATAATAGATAATATATGTAGGTATGCAATTTAAATAGTAAGTAAACTGGTAACTTATAAAAACCAAAAGAAGGGATAACAAACCAAAAAACATATAAAATAAATCTTCTTTTCCATTGTTTAAAATTCAGAATCGAAGATGTTTAAATTTATGTTTGTCAAATTTAATTGTAAATGTTGGAATTCTTTTAAAACTTCAATAAACAGAATATTATTATGCAACTAAGCATTTGCGTCAGAAACTTTTTATTTGCAAAGAAAATACTATAGATTATATATTTTTTTTGATTGAGCTTTGCTTTAAATTTAAATCTTTAAACACAAAATGAAATCAATTTATGCCAGTAGAGTTTAAGATAGTTAGATAAAAGCCAATGAATATATATATATTTGACGTTAAAAATATGAAAATAAATAAATTATAAAGCATATATCAATCTGTTGTGGCAAAATGTGACTTAGTTTTGGTCCGCGCTCATCGATGGGCAACTAAATCGCTTTTGATTGCGTCCCAATCCGCTTTCAATTCACCGTTCAAACAGACTGTTAATTCTGCTTGCCTTCGGCTGGCTGACAATTCATTGGGTTTGCATCGCTGGCTGGGAAACTGCAAAAACTGGGAACCTGGGAAACTCAGCAAATCCCGGCCACTATGGTAGTATGCTTGAACTACCCCCCGCATTGGTTAAGTAATGGCAAACATTCGACTTACTGTCGGTCCTTGCGCTGCTGTCGCTTCTTCTTGAACACTTTCCTGACGCGCAGCAGGAGGAAGGCGGCCCGGTCCACGGACAAGGTGGTGCCGCTCTTCTTGGCAGGACCTGCTGCAGTATCCTGCTCCATTTCGGTGTGGCTGCTGCTGCTGCTGCTCGCGACTTCTGTATCCTGCTGAGGTTGCTGCCTGCCTTAACGTCACTTGCTGGTGTCCTTTTGTCTGGCTGGTTATTTTGCTTGTAAGCCGCCAGAGCCGCTTATGACAAGTTGCGCCATGGCCGCTGGCATTCGTATGCTCCTGGCGTAGTCCTTCGGTTGCCGGCTTCTCACTTCTGGCTTATGCTTTCGCCCTTTACTCACGCCTTACATTCGCTTCACTAATACTTGCACTATCGCCATTTTCGATGGAGCTAAAGTGGGTAACATGGTTTATAAATGTATATCTATGTATGCACACACACGCCCGGATTTACATATCCTGGCAGGACCTGCACGTGCTCCCAGCTTGCTCGTTGCTTTGTCTGACAATGGCGTGCCAAGAAGCAAATAACATTTTGCTTACTTGTCACAGCACCACTTGCACCCTGTGCCCCAGAAAATCCCACTTTCCCGCCATTACGCATACGCCTCGTAAGCATTCATATGATATTGTTTTATTTATGATCTCATGTTATGACTGCTTAGGTAAGTTGCGTATTTCTTGGCGTTTTACGCATTTCCATAAATGCGAATTTCCCCAGCCACCACCAGCCAAGGACATTTGTCTTGCCACGCTCTTCTTTCTTTTATTATTGTCAAATAAAATTTTAAATTCATGTGGCTTTTGGCTGGCGACTTTAACCCACCCAGAAAGTGGGCATAAACAAGAGTCTTTATCGGTGGCGCTTTATTTTCGGTCACTCTTTGAGTTTTCTTTGCATGTCCCCGCATTGTCACTTTCAGTTCAATCGGCGTTCTTATTGTCAGCTTCATTATCATAATCGTACCTTTTTCCAGATCAATTACGGATTAACTGTCAAGTTTATTGGCGTGCCAGTGGGGGGTGGGGGGAGGCACAGGTAATCCCCGGAATCCCTGACAATGTTCACAGCATAAAGTTGAATGTCTCACCGAACACCCTCCCATTTTCCACCTGCTGTCGTTGCTGACTTCTAAGTGAGCTTGAGTGGATTTTGAAAACATCTCCAGCACTCTCAGGACTCAAACTCACATGCTCACAAACTCACATGCAGGCACGATGCTCTGTGTGCGACATTCGCCTTGATAAAGGATACGAAATTGCTGTGCGGCCAAAACCGATGGGACATGCCACAAAAGGCGACTTAGTGCTGCTTGTCGCTTAACTTAATATTGACTTATTTGCTCTCTGGCAATCGAAAACTATTTCTCTCAGGTATCCCATTCCCATCAAATTGTGCCTGGCTGCCTGTTGTCCTTGGCTAAATCCAATGAACCGCCACTGAGTCTTCTGATAAATGATTATTACGCCGTATTTGGGTCACAATTCCTGAACGACCTGCCCTGGCTGGATTCTGGATGTCTGGATTCCGCTTGCCCAAGCAGCTTCACTCTCGTTGAGGGTAATGACGATGGAGCAATTATATCTTGATTTGATAATCACAGCCGGATGTTGTCAAGTCCAGATGAATGTCGGAGTCACGCGCGGACCAGAGACGAAAAGTTGAGCAGATAGATTTTACTGAGAATATATAGCTGTGCATCTGTCATAGAACAAATTAATGGCTTTATTCTTGCCAGTGCTTAAAATGCTTTTAGAAAACCAGCAAAAGTAGTAAAATTTCAGCATATCGTATATTATATATGTTTTTAATACTATCCAGTCAAGAAGAGAAACAAAAGCATAGCGGATCAGGAAATTCGTGCAATGATTGAGATGGTAAAATATTTAAAACCTCCTTTTGAAAATAATAGCTTAAGATTAATAGCTTTTGATTATAGCAAATAAAATCAATATATTTTAATTAACAAGAAAGGCTTCTAATTTAGCTATTTTTGTTTGAGCATTTTTATTAAAAGTGGAGTTAATCTCTACCGACTTAAAGGTTTAAAAATCAAAAAATACAATTTCTAATACGGTTTTTTGTAAAGTAGCTTAAAGAACTACCAGACCACTAAAAGTTCAAACTGAAATATTTGCAATTAAATCCGTTTCTGACCACTGAGAGCAGTTGACATGAGAATTAATTTCCGAATTGCTTCCAACGCCTCACGGATATCACTGGATATGCATGAGAAATTGGCTTTTGGCCAGGTCTAGAGCCTGGCATCGAGTTAATTAAATGTCATGCCAAGCTCCGTCGCTGATTGGAACCCGGGAGCAGGTCTGGCTAAGAGCCCGTTTCTGTGTCTCTGTTGCAAGTCATTTCTGGCGCGCCAAAGGCTCCTACCTTTTGCATAGATTGCGCAATTTGAATTTAAAGTCAATCATTTCTAGCTACTGACGGGTGAGGCAAAGGACGATAAACGACACATCCTGGACAGGTGGAGCGGGGCAGCCAGCCGAACCACATCGGTGTCACGTCACTTGCTACGCTTCCGCCGTTGATTTATTCGCCATTACGCCGGGACGTGACCGGTTGTGGTCCAGGACTACGACTCAGCAGCGGGGCAAGGTGCAAGATGCCATAATTAAATAACAATTTGCCAGGGAACAGCGAAGGGGCGGAGGGCAGCTCAACACCCTGGGCCAATGGCAGCTTGTATCAGGACACCCAAAGGACACTCGCACATGTGCGATGAAGGGAGGTGGAGGAGGGCTGAGTGAGGAGCATTAAGAGCCGCGCTCTGCCATCAAGTGGCTGGCATAAAGCGAATGCGAATGCGAATGCGAACGAGACCAACTCCCTTTATGGGCCAACGTTTTCGAGGACCTCTCGCCTTTGCACTTTTTCTTTGCATAATTTTTTATTCGGCACAACAAAGCGCTAAGCTGGCAAGCAAACAAACATGTACCTACAATAGCGGTCAAAATAATAGTAGTTCCTTAGCTTATGGAAATGAAACATCAATCAAAAATAGTTTAAAAGCAAATATTGAAACCTTTTTGTGCAGCTAACACTATAAACTAAATGGGAGAAATATAAAAATCCACACTTATCATGGGTGTTATATTTTAAAGCATCTGTAAAATAAATTACAAAAATAGGTAGTTTTTTTTATTTACTCTCATTTGAAACCCTAATTTTCTTATAATGTTTGAAAAAAACTGTTAATAAATAATTTGTATTAATATTTTTTTAGCCAGAGTGAATTAAAAACCTCTTTGGAAACCTTTAAGAAAACGCTGTTTGTTTTCCATTTAGTGTCCAGCTGGTCCAGACATATTCGTGGAGTGGGCGAGGGCCGGAAATGAGTGCAAATTTATGCAGAAAGTAATTAAAAGAACCGTTGTCCGGCTACATTTCCTGGCCCAGTTGTCTGCTCCTGACGCGGGCGGCATGACGGAAAAGGCGTGGAGTGGTTGGGGGCGTGGTCGGCATTGTGCAGGAGCTTTGAGATGTTTTTAACGATTTGTTTGCCCTCATAAAAGTAAAATTTAATGAAGTTGCAGAATAAAAGGCGCATAAACACGAGCCAAGTGGCTTGCTGACCTTTGTCCTTTGAGCTGATGTTCGTACACTGTCTGTCTACTTGCTCCTTTTTAAGTGGCACCGTTGAGTATTTGTCACTGTCTTAATTACTTGGCTTTGCGTCTCATTGTCCGCTGCTGGCCTGGCCACGAAGGCAAATACCAAATGCCAAAGCACTTTAAGTTAACGAGCTGCTCAGCTTGTGCTTTAGCAATCCTGCCAGCCACACCTGTTAGCACCCACCTCCCCATTCCCCCTTCCGATTTCCCAGTGGGGCAGCGAAAAGTACAATCAATTTCATCCAGCGCCACACAACAATAGAAGGGGCAGCCACAGGAACTCGGCGTTGTAGGTTCGAATGGCCCCGCCCATCTAATTTAAAGGACTAATTGTCAACATGCCCCAATTTGGCCGAGAGTGTGTGGGCGAGGATGCTAACATCGGATGGGCGTTCGGGTAATTTCTCTCTAATTTGTCTGGGACAGCATAAATGGTATTTGGTATAAGCTTTGAAGCCTGTGATTAGGTTTCACTTTTAGTATCCAAAACTTCTTCATTATTTTGTTCTATACTGTTTCCTTTTAAAGGAAATATTATCAGTATTTGAAATAAAAATTCATATCCAATAAAATAAAAACATAAATTTCTTCTGCATTGCATACTTTTTGTATTTTATCCACTGTTGTTCATCTATGTTTTAAAATCAAAAAAATTAAAACTTTAAAATAATAATAAGGCGTAATTGTACTATATATTAAAACAATCCTGAGGAATACGCTTATAAAAGGAACGCGAGGTTTTTTTTTTTTAAGAATAAATAAAAGTTCGAATTGAAAAAATTTTAAAATATATAAAATTTAAAAAAACTATAATTTTCAAGAGAACAAAGTAAAGACATTAAAAATTGAGCTGCAATAATTGTGAATTTTTTTTCATAAACTACAAATTAAAGACTTGATCTAGATAATTTTTATCTTATCTTAAGCGAAAATTAAAGCGCCTTAGAAAATTTCATTACTTAAAATCCTTTCGATCCAGCTATTTATGGAAAATTTAGGTTGACGGCAGTTTAGCCCCGTTTACGTAAACATGAAGGTAATTTGAGCGGCTTCATCGACAGGACCTCTAGCTTACCGTCCCTTGCAGGAGGTTATCTAAGCCAAACACTCTCAATACACCTAGCCGAAAAATGACCCCTGAAGTCTATTGTTTTCCGTAGACTGCCCCAGGATACCTCCATTTATATTTTGTCGATACTGACATACGTCTTTTGCTATTTTCCCAGCTTTTCCCACTTGACCTTCCTGCCGCCCCACTCAATTGTTTTTTGTCTGATATTGTCTGGCCATATGAAGACAGTTGCCACTCAGCACTCAGTCGGCTTAGCATTATGTATGGTCTTATCTGCGTCTCTCCACGGCCCGCAATATTAGCACTTGAGTACAATTTTCCAGTGCAAATAGCCGGACTAACAAAAGCCGTTAAAACAAAGCATGCCAAAACGAGTGATGAGCGTAAATAATGCGGATGAAATGCGACATGTTAACAAGGCGACGCCTTAAGAGGATTAGGATTTGTCGGAGGATGGAATTTGGAGGCTGTGAAGTGAGGCGTCTTGTCTGCCAAGGGTTCCTGTGTTTTATAAAATTTAAATACATCCAGGCTGCGTCGGCGGCCCAACAAACTAAGCGAGCAGCGTTGGAAGAGTCAGACACATATTAGACAACAGGGCGTATGAGTGGCGTCCGCACGATATTTTCATTCGGGTGTCCAGCCATGAAAACGCCAGCCTTGAAGTGTATTTATACGCCAGGCACTGG